GCCTATAGCAGGTATGGAGATCATGGGAGTTATTGCCAAAGAAATGTCCTCCTCAAACAAAGGAAACGTAACTCTATGTATTCAGATAGGAAAGCACTTTAAGAGTGGGCATGTTCCTGAGCATGCTTAGTTTAAGACTATAGTTCAAGGAAGAGAAATCTTAGGCCATGTTTAATTCAAGATAATGGAACACATGTTGGGCATGCCTAGGTTTCATCATACAAGGTAATGGAGCACATGTTGGACATGCCTAGGTTTCAACATACATTTTGGTAAGTCTTTGGTTCTTGAACTCAACTAGATATTGCCTGCAAGAGAAATGCTTTAAACATGAAGACAAACAGGTTGAAAGTACCTGTGTAAAAAAAAAAAGACACATCACACAATCAGCAAGGCTGGATTTCTGGCCCTCAAAGAGACATGACTGCTGAAGGCATTCCAAGGGAATCCTTAGACTATGTGTTGGGTGCCACTCCAGACCCCTTCATCTCTGCTCTAGGCCAATACAGACTGAAATTGCTCTCAGGCAAGGTGGCAGAATTTAGTGAGCTTTCACTGAGTGAGGAGGGGCAGAAGCAAAAGTTTCTGACAGTTACAGTTAAGTATCTTTCCCTGTCTCTTGTTATGTAAGAAGTCAGAGTAGGAGACCTGTCTGTGGCTCTCTAGCTTAGCCACAGGTGTGAAACACTGTGACCCTGATGGGGATTTCTGTCTTCTCATCCAAGGACTCTAGCTGAAGGGTTGGGCGCTCCTGGAGCAGAATCGATGAGAGTGAGGTCAGGGCCTTATGTTTCACTTTCTTTCTTACCAAGTCTCTGTCGGTTGGCAGATTCCTTGCTCTGGTCTCTGAGTCCCTTTCTAGACGGATGTTTCTCATGCCCAGCTCCTGCTCCTTGTCATGATTCTTGGCTACAAAAAGCAGAACATTCTTGAAAGAAATGCAACCATTCCAGTACCTCAAGTCTAACACTAATGAGCCTAGTGAGGGACTTCTGGCCTTTAGAAATGTAAAATAATCAACTTGTCTTCTTTTCACCCACTAGGTTTGTGGTAATTTGCTATGGCAGCAATAGAATAATGACACTTTCCAGTTTTTAGCTGGAGGAAACAGTGAACCTTAGGAGGCAAACCATAGAGGTTGCTGGATCTAAGACAAAGCAATACCAGCTCTGTCAAGTAGTTTAGTTCCTACTTAAAAACAGCACCCAAACCAATCTCCCTTTTGCTGCAAACCACTAAGACTGTTTATCTCATTACTGAAAATGAGGAAATTTTAAAAAGTCCTTAAAACAATATTTATACTAAGGTGTGACTCACTGATGATGAAACAATAGAGCCTTGTACAGGGGATAAAGCAGATGTGATTATGAATTTGGGCAGTTGGAAATGACGGCATAAGGAGTGGGATGGGAAAGCGATCAAACCTGGCGAGAGCACTGGGGTCCCATTGTGAGGATATAATTGCCCAAAGCAACTTTCCAGTAGCAAGCAACCAGGAAGGAAGGACTCACAGGTTGGCATAGCAGCTGTGCAGAGCCAGGCTACAGATCCTCACTTCTTGCCACACTCAGTCCAGCAACACTCCGAGTAGGAGCTCTTTTGTGTCATTTCACGTCTTCTCTCTTTGGCCTGTGATATGTGCCTGCCATAACTTTCTTGAGATGAAATATTGAAGGCCATCTTTCTTGGAACCCTTTTCTAGTTATGGAACAGGGCAGGGCTTTCCTGACAGACTGGCAATATTCAAATTTTGTCTGCAGAACCCTAGAGTCTTGAGGCCTCCCAAGATTAGAGGATTTTAAGCAATTTGATTGTCTCCTCAACTGTAGTAACTGCACTGATTGGTTGATATCCATGAAATTTGTTGGTTAAGATTTAATCTTAGAAAATATTTCTGCTTCTGAGAAAAGTTTAAACACTGCTAAACCAGATTAAGCTTGTCAGAGGTTCAGACACTCTCTTTTGCCACCAAGCTGGCTGAGATCTAACTAAAGGAGATAAGGAATCAAGTACTTCTCAAGGCAGGATAGGAAGACAAGGAAATTCAAGGGGACACAAAACAGGAAAAAAGCCTTTGCTCAGGGCTGGAGAAATGGCTCAGTGGTTAAGAACACTGACTGTTCTTGCAGAAGACCCAGGTTCGAATCCCAGCACCCACATGGCAGCTAATAACTGTCCGTAACTCCAGTTCCAGGGGATCCAACAGCCTCTTCTGTCCTCCTTGGGCATTGCATGACATGGGTGCACTTACCTACATGCAGGCAATACACACATATACATAAAATAAAAATAATAAAATATTCTTAAAAAATAAATATTTTTAAAAACCCTTGCTCTACTTGGATCTGCATTGGTGAAAACAAAGAACTCAAACACAACTAAAAAGTATGTTATGAAGATTGCCTACAGAGAAATGCTCATTTTTCTAAGAGATACCTCAGGCAAGAGTGTTAAAATAGTAATGGGCCATGTTTGCTTAAAGCCAAAAATGCCTGTGACCTTTGAGTTGAACCTAATCAGCACACCTGTAGACCTGAACAATGTACCTCATAAACCACCTCATAATTTCATTTACAAAAGGAAATTCCATAAGCAAAGAGAAATACATAAGCTAGCTCATTTTTTAACTTAACTTTACAACTTTAAAATTTTACTTAAGGTTTAAACTTTGCTTAATCATTTAACTTGGTTGAAAATTATATCCTTTAAACAATGTAACTTTATATAATTTTTAAATTTGTTTTATGTATATGTGTATTGCCTGCATGTGTGTAATACAACCATGTTGTGCAATGCCTAAGGAGGTCAGAAGAGGGCGTTGGATCCCCTAGAACTGGAGTTAAGGATGGTTGTTAGCTACCATGTAGGTGCTGGGAATTGAACCTGGGTCCTCTGCAAGAGTAGTCAATGTTCTTAACCACTAAGCCATCTTTCCAGCCCCAGCAATATAGCTTTATAAGCCACAAAATTGTACACATAGCTCTTGTTGAGACGTATCTTTCTCCAAATGCCCATTTAAATGCGAAGTGTGTTCCAGCTCCTTCTCTTATCTTTCTTAACAAATCCTATTTTCCTTCATAATGACTCATCCTGAAATTCTTTTCTGTACCATAAATCAAGATCCCAGTCACAGGTGAGTGGGGTCCCTAAGCCAGGAACTTCTCAGGCTATAGCCAGAAGAATCAGGCTCATCTCACCTTGTATTTCTGAGTTAATCTTGCCTATGAATGATCTTCCTAGGTACCACAGATGAGAACTGAGAAGAAACTTGGCCTGTGTCAGTGACTTCCACAAAACAAACACTGAGTTTATCAGCAGACTCCACAGCTCTAAATCTTAACACCACTTATTTAATAGGCAGTACTTTCTTCCTAGCCATATTGCTTATCAAAGAAGAAAGTGAGCTAGTAAAGAGGTGGGCAATAATAGGAAACATTAGCTTGAAGGCTTTCCAGGATGAGTTAGAATCTGATGGCCAGGTTTCTTCACCTGCAAACTGTGACTCAGTAAGTAGAAGTCTGCAGGTGACCGTGAGTAAAAATCACCAGGGGCATCTCCATTCATTTCAGGTATTGTAAATCAGTGTGTAAGCCTCTATAAGACTTCACTAAGTGTTTTCTTAAGGATTAAAACAAGTGTTCTTAAAATTTGTTAGAACTGATTTATAGGGCATCTAAGTCACTTTTACTCTGTGGGGAGGTTAGGCATTCTCAGAGTGTCCCTCATCTGCCCCTCAGCTCCTCTCCCCCCCTTCCACTCAACCCAGTCATATCCCTTCAGAGACCTGTGCGTGTCACTGCCTGGTATTGCTGCTCTTTACCTTAAGCCATATCCTTCCATTTCCCATGGAGCAGTGCAGATTCCTCCCAGCCTCGTGCAGTCTGAGGCTGTGAATGGCTATCTCTAGGGATCTGCTGTGTGCTCAGTGGCTGCTAGGAAGGAGCACCCGTCCCTTTGAAAGGGCAATGAAGGGCATGACACTCCTTCAGCTCCAGATCATTCTCTGTGCAATGAAGTTCCTACATAAGAAGGTAAACAATACTTATCACTAGAAACATGCCTTTTTTCCCCTTTAAACTAGTCTGGTCTATCTGGGAACCACAATTTCTTATAGTCTTGATTGTGACTTTATGCCTTATAATCACCTAACTATCTTAAAGGACACTGCCTTCTTTCTTTGTGTGAATTCTTCAAATCAATGATGTTTTCAAGTAATTTCTCCTCCTCTTCCTCCTCCTCTTCTTCCTCCTCCCCCCTCCTCTTCCTCCTCCCCCTCCTTGCTCTTGCTCTTCCTCCTCCTCTTCTTCCTCTTCCCTCTCTTCTTTTTATTGTAATGGTTTGCTTAATTGCTTTGAAGTCAGAGTGGGAGGTAGGCCAGGCATACGGAGCATCTAGAACTTTTATTTTCAGATAAACTACATATTTCTGATATGCAATAGGGAGTAATTTTATTATAAAATAATTTGAAAGACTAGCTTGACACCTTAATGAAGGTTCAAAATAAGAAGCCAGTGGCAAAAATGAAAATATAAGAGCAAAAGAATGTCAATATGCACAGTGCTGAAGGTAAAACTCTGGAGTTCAGCTTAAAAGTTTGGAGTTCACGAGTCAAATTGTGAAGGGCAGGGCAGAGGAAAAGTTGGGACTTGAAGATGGGCAGAGAGCTGCATGTGAGGTAACTGTGATTTGGAAGGGGAAAAAGAGAATGTAAAAATCCATCTTTTTGTTAGTTAAAGTTTAAAGTCAAGACAGAGGAGGTCAGGTGTGGTGGCATACACCTGTAGTGCGGCACTGGAGGCTAAGGTGGGAAGATTAGAGGCCAACCCAGGCTAAATAACAAGACATTGCATCACACACACACACACACACACACACACACACACACAAAATCAACATGCAGAGAAGAGGCAGAAGAGACAGAAAGCCTTAAATCTTCTATTGATTTTCAGAAGTAAAAACTTGCCAAATCCTGCCTCCCTCATCTCCCATCTAAGACCATTTGGTTCTCTGCCAAACTCTGGGTAATAAAAAGAGCCTCAGGCGCTCTGAGCAAAAGCTGCCGCTGCTTAGCAGAGAAATCAAGACAGGATCTGAGGTAAGGCTGTGACCAAAACTGTTGGATTTTTAGGTTTTGCAGAGAAAGATCTTAGGAACTATGGAGTGTCTTAGTTTTTCCCTATTTCTGAGAAATAAATGATTAGACTGATTTGCCATTAGTGCCGATGGCATAAAGTAGGTGAATAAATAGTTGCTACTAACACATAATTCCATTGCTTTCCTTTGGGTGATTTGTGACATTATTAATAATTTGCCTAAATAGATGGTATTAATCTTTAAATGTTCCCTTCCCTCACAGTGACACTTTACAAAGCAAGTTGATAATTCTACTTCATACTCTTAAGACTTAACAGTTGTCAACAAGCGGTTCTCAGTAAAGGGGGGCAGGGATAACAGAAGACCTGAAAAAGAAAGCATTTGTGGAAACAAAATACAGAACGGACAACCTAAGTTTTAAAGCTCGAGCCTTTTGATACTAGTCACCTGAGACTTTCCTTTTTCTTTTTGCTCCTGGTAATTATTCCTCCTCACATTTTTCCCTCCTTTACCTCTCAGTGGACCTAGCCTCCAGGTTATTTTAGTAAAGAACATAGCACAAAATGCAGGCGTGTAGTGTGGCTGCTCTCGGGAGCCGGCGATTCAGAAGTTTCCAGGGCTGCAAGTGGCTGTCTTCCCAGAGCTGCGGAGCTGTGCTGGCTTTTCACTGCCCTGTCATCCTTGCTTCCTATGGAGTGTTGGCGCTGTTCCCAACATCCCAGCCATCTTTTCATGTCCGTCTTTAAATACTTCATGCTCCTCCTTTGATTTGCTCCCAGAAGATACACAACCCTGTGTTCAGAAAACTTCGGAATCCTCTGTTTCTCATTTAGGGGTCCTTGAACATTGTCACACAGCACAAGTTTCCTTAAACGGTTAAGAATGCAGTGACCTGTTCTCCTCAGCTCAAATTTCACATTTTCTCCATTCTTCTCTGAGAGGATCTGGGATCTCCTACGCAACTTTGATTTGTAACGTCTGGTTTTCTCAACAACATAATGTTACTTCTCTGGATCACTGTTTAATTTACATCATACTTCTCATTTATAGAGAAAATAATTCTATGGCAAACTTTAACTTCCAGGTAGTGGCTGAAACAGGGTCAGTCACCTCTTGGTGCTCCATTCAGTCCTCACAGCATCTTTGTGAGATAAATGTCATCTTCTCCATTTATGAAATTAAGAAAGTCAGGTTTGGAAAGATGGTACTTACCCAAGATGACAAAGTGAATTTCAGGTCAGAGATTAAAATCCAGGGCTAAATTCCATCAAGAAAAGAGTGTTTAAGAGGTAAGCATGCTTCTAAGCTAACTTCACAAATGTGTCTCTAATCCTCTCTGGTAAGCAAAGTTTTTGATTCAGAGTTTCCATAATTTTCAAATGTGAAACTATTTGTGAGAAAGCATTACAGGCTTCCATGGATTTTTGCAGGACTGCATCCAGTTACCCGAGGGGAGGGGAAGAGCTGCCAGCTCTGCACTGTGGCTTCTGTGCTCCTTCTGTTCCTGTTGTTATGAAGCAGGAGGGATTCACCCACAGACTTGGCTTTACTTAATCAGTACCCAGTTCACAGCTAATTCCCTTCCACTTTGAATACCTCATATATAAGTGATTCTTTAAAAATCCCCTGGCAGTATTGGTGCATTTGAGAATGCACTAAAATTGTAACCATAACAATGTTTTGCTCATTAATTCCCATGGAGTTCCTAATATAGACTCCAGGTTTTTGTAAAGAGTTTAACAGAACTTTATAGTTGTGTTCATCTACTCTGCTCAGTGGCAATCACTTTTGGCCTGCTGGCTCATCAGTGACAGATGTTTAAGAAATGATATTTAAGCAATTTATATTTTCTTTCCCCTGCCGCCAACTCCCCATGTGTGTATGTGCAAGTATGGAGGTCATAGGACAACTATGGGGAATTACTTCTCTCCTTCCACCTTTTACATGGATTTGGGGGATGGAACTCAGGTTGTCAAGCTCTCACAGCAAGTGCTTTTACCAGCTGAGCCATCTCAACAGCTCCTTCTTTTCTTAAAAAATGTTTTCGCTGGGCGTGGTGGTGCACAAAGTGCTTTTACCAGCTGAGCCATCTCAACAGCTCCTTCTTTTCTTAAAAAAATGTTTTCGCTGGGCGTGGTGGTGCACATCTTTAATCCCAGCACTTGGGAGGCAGAGGCAGGCGGATCTCTGTGAGTTCAAGGCCAGCTTGATCTACACAGCAAGTTCCAGATCAGCTGGGACTATAGGGAGACCCTGTCTCAAAAAGATCAAAAAAAAGTTTTATTTATTATTTTTATTTTATGTGTATGAGTGTACTGCCTTCATGTATGTAAGTGCCCCTGTGTTGTGCAATGACCACAGAGGTCAGAAGAGGGTGCCGGATCCTCTGGAACTGGAGTTACACATGGTTGTTAGCTGCCATGTGGGTACTGGGAACCGAAACTGGGTCCTCTGCAAGGGTAGCCAGTGCTCTGAACTGCTGAGTCATCTCTCCAGTCCCTTTTTTTTTTTTGTTTTTTTAAATTTGCATTTTTGAGACAAAGTCTCACACCATAACCTAGGCTAGCTTGAAACTCCTCAGCTGGTCTTGAGCTCATGACAATCCTCCAGCCTCAGCCTCTCAAGTGCAAATATTACATGTATGAGCCACCATACGTGGCATTATTTTTTAAAATAAGGGACGATATACTTTTCATTATTGTTTTCACTTGGGGCTTATAATAACCAAATGGGGACTTTCTCAAATATGAATTTATTCAAGATTTCTCCTCTCTGGAATTGTATTTTTCTATTACCTTTTATACTCATATTGTATATGACCTAGCCATGTTCACACCAGTCCTGTTCAACAATATTTGGTAGCCAGGTACGGTGGTGCATACTTGTAATCCCAGCACTTAAGAGGCAGAGGAAGGTGGATCTCTGAGTTCTCTCCAGATCTATGTAGCAAGTTCCAGGCCAGCCAGGGATACATAGTAAAATCCTATCTTGAAACAAAAACGACAAAAAACCTTCATAGGTAGTTTGGGTAACTTCTTCATTCAGGTAAACTATTACTGGTAGCATTAAGGTTCCTTGAATACTAATTTTTTCAAATAATTTTTTTGTTTGTTTTGAAAGCTTCAGGCACAGAAACAGGCACCAACATTGATTCTGATATAACTAACTTAGTGATAGTCTTCAGCTTCCTGTTTTTACTTCCATAAGAAAAAGCTCATATTACCCGAATGGATATGCAGATATCCATTTTTTCTTTACTGACTAAAGAGCATGTCTTATGAAAACATAATCATAATTGTCACTATGCAGTGAACATTTACTATAATAAACTGGGTGCTCTTAACTCAAAGAAGTACAAATTGTTTTACAGTTTGGGGGGTACCATGCCCAGGATGCATTGATAAGGCTTGTAATTCCAATGTCTGACTATTACCTCCATCATTATATAAAGTTGGAGGGATTTCTCCTTGGTGCTGTCAGACCTGGGAGAGTATACTTAATCCAGAAGCACTAGAGTCATTACTACTCCGATACAATAAGAAAAAAAACCCTTTTAGAGTTACCTTTGAGAAGAGAGGTATTCAACAATCCTTGCACTCCAGTAGTCTCACTTCAAGCCCAGTTCTCAGGGAACCCGGACTGAGCCTACTGAGCATAATGAAGCTCTGATTGAACTATAGGAATACAATATCCAAGTGTGGATTGAGGCTTAGTTTACTTGAATGCATGGCCAGGAGCTCTCATTTTCTGAGTGGAAAGTTGCTATACTTTTTTTTCTTTTTTTTTTTGAGACAGGGTCTCCCTGTAGCCCCAGCTGACCTAAAATTCACTAAGTAGACAAGGCTGGCCTTGAATGCAGAGATTTGCCTGCCTCTGCCTCCTGAGTGCTGGGATTAAAGGCATGTGCCGCCATGCCTGGCCAGTCACTGTACTCTTAAATGTCTTGTAGTCAGCTAATAGTATACAGTGTACAATGCTGTACATTAGTCCTACTTGTAAGAGGACAGGTGCCCAGTGGTCTTTTCAATTTAATAGTTTTCATTTCAGCCCAGCTTCCAGTAACCAAGACCAAGCTACTAGACCAAGCTATGTAGATAATGAAGGCAGAAAGTTGGAGAGCAGCTGGAGAAGCTCAAAAGCAGAACAGGTGGGCTACAAAGGCTGTCATACCGATGTGTATTAGTGTGCAGTCATTAGGTTGTAGGAGAAAAGTACATGATCAAGTGTGTTGTTCACAATATTGAACAGCCTTTACAGTACAGCAAACATAATTTAAAAAGTGCCAGTCTTACACAATTAGTTTACGGAGCCCAGTAGCTGAATGCTAGCCTTGGGAGGGACTCTCATTTTGGCTTCTACTACAGCAGCTAATTTGGGAAGGTGTGGCAGTGAGGGTGTTATGAAATATATACAGAATCTTCAACCTTCTCTACAATATCAGTGTTTCTGTTGCCATTCAGTAAGTATAACACGAACACAGGAGAAAAGCTGTATAAAAAGGAACCATAGCCTTTGCACAAGGAAGAAATTTCATGTGTCATGTATTTTAATTAACAACTGAATATAGGTAATATGAAATAGTATTTTGACCAGAAAACAATTTTCAGTTGCTTTGGCTTTTGAATGCCACCATGGACTTATGGTTTTATTATTGTTTTGGCTAAGTCATTTTCATTAGCCATAATGTTTTGATATACAGAAGCCCTTTTATGCTAGCTCATTTTTCCTCCTTTAAAACCTCTTGGGAGGCTGGAGAGCAGGCTCAGCATTTAAGGGCACTGGATGCTCTTGCAGAGGACCCAGGTTTGATTCACAGCACCCACAAAGTGGCTAACAACTGTCTGTAATTCCAATTCCAGGGGAATCTGACACCCTCTTCTGACCTCTTCAGGCACTGCATAACACAAGTTCACTAACATACATGCAGACAATGTGCTCATACACACACACACACACACTAACAATAAACCTCATGGGCTGGAGAGATGGCCCACTGGTAAA